CATAATTCTTTAATACAAAAAAACATGTGATTGTACACTGGTTAAAATGCTGGCAATACTGCTTTTCACTCATTTTCAAATAAATTGTATGAATACAAATTTTTATCAAACCATGTACAAGCACTATTTCATACATTTTGTGATTACTAATTCAACTGACGTTTCCGGGTTGGTATGACAAAATACTGTCAGTTTCCAAAAAGTCACCAAACATTGAAGTTAAACATTATAAAATAAAGTGGGAATATGTATGCTTTATTTTCACATAATTTTATTACATTATTGAAATTTTAATGATGTGACAATAAGGTTGATATATTAGAAGAAATTTACAAATAACAAAATGAAATATTGCCAAGTTAAAGCTGTTTTAACCCTTTGACGGGCTCCCACCTTTTTTATCAGGTTTTATCTCCCAGATGAAAGCTCCAAAATTCCATTTAAAATACATACAATTACACCTTTTACTTATCTAAATGTATAACAGAAGGCAGCACTAGTATTCATTCATGAAAATAATGTAAAATAAATATTCTTTGCAGGTCTAATTTTTAAGCAGTTTTTCCCCTTAATTTCTTATGCAATTTAAATCGTCTGAACAACAGCTTTTGGTGTTAGAATGAATATTTTTATATGAAAGTTTCCTTCTTTAATAAAAATTATTATTTGGATTCATATTAATTAAAAATGGTTGAAATTAAAAGGTGGGACACATACGTCCCACCGTGCATGTAGGAATTGCTGCTACTAGATGGCAGCACCATTCAAACATCTTTAAATTCAAGTATGTTCATTTTATATGTTGATAATGCAAATTTATATTTTTTAATAAATTGAAATAATGTTAAAACTTGAAAAATATTTTGTATTTTTTCCAAAAGAAATGAAAATATAACTCTGTAACATGAAATGTCATTGAATACTGAATGGATATATGAGTTTGAGTCACCATAGAAAAATATCCTAAGCAGAGGAAAGAGAGGTGAAATGTAAATAAACATGACGACCTTCTAAATATCTTCTTTTTCAAACCTATAGCAAATACAGTACTGGAGCGAAAATCTTCTCTGTTTCAAATCTATTATGAAATCATTAAAAAATATCTAAAAATTCGTACAGAGAGCATTTTTTTAAAAATTATATAAATTTTTTGAAAACGTATTTTTTATTTTGCAAATACGATCAATATTTTCTAGATAATTACTCAAAAACGTTTTTACATCTTGCATTTTCATTTGGTTGCTAAAACTAGCACTTAAGATAAGCATGTTAGGAGAATTTATGCCCAGGTAAAGATACCATTGTACTGCTCTAGATGCACGGTGTGGCAAGCAGTATCCCACCACGTCATGAATTAAAGGTTTACCTTCCCCCCCCCTTGAAATAACATTGAATTAGGGACTAGTTATCTATGTGTAAAGTTATTCCCCTCCCCCCAAAAAAAAATTATATGCACCGAACCTCAAAGGGTTAAAGTTGGTAAAATGGGGATTAATTGCCATCCCTAATGAAAGCACAGTGTAAGAATGCAGAAATTATGATATCTTTCCAACATTTCTTCCCACCCCTGTTGAAAAGCAGAGTTCTCCAATCAACCCGTGACGAACAATAACCCCAAAGTAGATAATGGGGGTTCTTCACCATGTGACCTCATGGTAACCCTAGTCGAATAAAAATATCTGCCAAAAATAGATTTGCCAACAAACTGTCATCTCAAAATGATTTTTGGCATTTTCAAAAAACAGGTAGAAAATTTCACATAAAACCATACAGTTGCAGTAAATCTCTTAAAGTATGAAAAATTTCGAATTGGTACAAATAATATGATTCACTGCTTTCGCAGACCTCAATCAATGTACACTGCAGAGAAAAAAAAGGGGGCTAGTTCTCTATCTCCCGTTTTACTGAGCCGATTGACAAAATTCAAATTGCATTTTTCATGTCTCGAAAGCATGACTTAGGATATATATTAGATTTATATACAGTCAAAAGTCGTTAATCCGGACTCGTCGGGACTTCGGCGATTCCGGATTATCGATTTTTCCGGATTATAGATCATCAGTTTAAATCTGGTAAGATGGCATGCAGAAATTACAAAATTAAAAATATGAAACCGTAATTTATGAAATAAAGAACAATTATGATCTAAAGGGTATCAAAATTTACAAAAACAAAAAGCTTAATATTTATTTGTTTACTGTATTAAACATTTCCTTCAATGTAAGTTGCTTCGTTTCATGTGATAATACTTTCTCTTTAATTCTATTAAACAGACATAATTTCTTGTTTAGTTACAAAGTTCCGCTGTTCAAGTCCTACAATTGCTGTGTTGAGAATACCGACTAATTTGTCAATCGAAATGTTTTCGTTTTCAATAACCTCTGGGTCACTTTCTTCACTATAACTGGGTCACTTTCTTCACTTCTAAGCGAATTATAATGACGAGGAACTTGATTTAAATCATATCAAAGACGGAGTATATCGAGATGAAATACTACACTTAGTACGGAATTATAAACCAAATAAAATAAAAACATCTGCTCTGAAGATAAGGATAGTGCTGACAGATCAACTTCCAATCCGCAGCGTGAAATTGATAAAAAGATTTCGGATTTCAAAACATACTTTCGCTTTGTAGATACAAATTACATATTAGTAAATATATATCGGAAATTCTATTTGACATAATCTTTCTAATCTATCATAATCTAATAATGACATTTCTGCCCCCCCCTCTGCCGCAGAGCAGCGTGAAATTGATAAACAGATTTTGGATTTCAAAACATACTTTCGCTTCGTAGTAAATATATATCGGAAATTCTATTTGACATAATCGAAAGTTCAAGCTTACTTTTATAAAATTGCTCTAACAGTCTGCAAAAAATAATAAGCCGGATCCAATTCGAAGATTAAGGAACAACGCAATCTGCAACATTAACTGAATTAGATAACTTTAGCTTAGCGTATAACTCCGTTACACATTAAACGCACATGCGCAGAAACATATTCGCAGCTGTAAGGGTCTTATGCGCTCTCGTAAACGCCTGTGCGCATGCGTGAACGCGACGCATGCGCAGAAAGTTTGTAGCTTTGAGGTCCGGATTATAGATCATTCCGGATTATGGGTGTCCGAATTAACGACTTTTGACTGTATAGCACTATCCTAATATAGGTATTTTGGCACAAAATCATACTTTTTCTGAAATGACGTGCCAATTTTTTCCCATAATTCGATTCTACATCTCAAATTATGGCAAACTGCCAAGTTTTGTAAAAATCACACAAGTAGTTTTTTAAAAATTAGCTCTCAAGATTTTAGCTCATCAATGTTAATTGAATTTGATATATTTATTAATCTTTTTTTATTAAGCTTACTTGATTCCCTCTTCCGTAATTCAAAATTTAGGCTTAATCCAAATATAATTTGCCTATTTATTATGATTTATTTTTAAAATTTGTATTTTTAGATACTTTTTATAAATTTTTCAAAAATTTTTTTGTATTATAACCTATAAAATGTTTAACAAGTAGATAAATTTCTAGGTGCACCTGTAAACAATTAAAGACTTTATTTAAAATTTTCTAAAATATACATTAATTAACATAATGGAGAGTTCTGAAATTTGGCGTCTTGTTTTTGAGCAACAAATGTGGTTTACGCATTTTGTTCAAATCATTTGAAAAATAGGTTGCTATAAATTAAGAAGTTCGCCAAGTAAATTATTCTTCGCAAAAGCTGAAAAAAATACACCAAGATAAATTTTGAAACACATTTTACAAAATTTAATACTTAGACATAATTTGAATCATAGAATCGAAATATGGAAAAAAAAGGCATGTCATTTCAGAAAAAGTCTGAATTTGTGTCAAAATAATTATGTTAGAATGATGCTAGACATAAATCTTATATATATGCTATGTCGCACCTTCGCGACATCAAAAATGCAATTTGAATTTTGTCAATTGGCCCAGTAGAATGGGAGATATAGAACTATCCCCCCTTTTTTTTTTGTGTGTGTGTGTGTGTGTGCAGTGTACATAAGCTGCAAAACTAAAACCAGCACAGCACAACAGATGGGATTTCTATGGACAAGATCCCTATATTGTCCCTTGTTAAATGGGTCTTGCTGATTTCTTACCCTCCCTTAAATGCCATTCAATAATATTCTTTTGTAATTTACTAGTGTTTGTAATTTATTAGTGTATTCAATTTATAATTTTGTTGTATTTGGCATGCAAAAGAGTTTTTCGCAAAAGTAATTCCCAAGTTTTCGAAGTCTAAAAATACATTAATAATACTCTCATGGAATTTTATACTTTAGAATCATAATCTGGAAATTGTACAAAAGATTATTACACCATAATTTACCAATTCGAAATATTTTTCATTTCGAATCAATGCACATAATTCTATGAGTTGGGTATATGGCAATACTGAAGTCTGCTGCTGTTTTCTAGAACACAATTCTGTAGGATTACATGAATAAGATAGCCATTTTGAATATATATATATATATTGATCAATATTTTTCACAATATTCTGCACAGAAATGCACTTAATCTCTTGACATTTTTTACAAACTGTTATTTTATTTTTAGTTATGTACAGATGTAAACATTTCTCTCTTCAATTTGTGTATGGTCCCTGAACATGACCTCTAATTTTTAACATAAAATATCTCGATTACTTTTTGTCATATGGAAGTCAAAATTTTTGCGCTTTATTTTTTAAAATGAGTACAAAATTTTTCTAAATATATATGTACCAAAAGAATGTATAAATAACCAAAAGAATGTATAAATAGTTACAATTTTTACAGAATTAAATCTCTTTAAAATTGCTAAAATATGAACATTTGCATCATTTAAAACATTACTGTAAGTAGAAGAATTGTTGAGAAAAATAAAAACCAGGTAAGAACTTTTGTGGACACTGTGTATAATACTCAAGAATAACTGTACATGAATTAAATATATTGCTTTGAAGTTCATATACTTACTTTTGCAGGAGTGAGTCCTATATGATATACTAATTTTGGATCAACTTGTAACTCTGACATCAATTGTTGCTGCTGAGAAAGAGTTAAGGTTGACTTAAATGCTTTAGCCATTAGGCGCTTAGCTTCTACTCCAGCTGTATTACTCACGCACATTGATGTGTCCCATGCAACTTTATGCTCCGCAGGATTAGTAAGATTCATCCAAACTAACTGTTAGATAAAATAAACATATAATATTTAATTGTATAAAATAATATTTTTTCCACAGGATTAGTAAAATTAATCTAACTAAGAAATAAAACATAACACACAATATTTAATTATATCAATCAATTATCCTCTGCAAGATTAATCATATTCATCTAAACTAACCAAAAATAAAATATAGAATACTATACTTAAGTATACCAAACAATATTCAAGAATTCCTGATATGATTAGAGAAAATACAGTAAAACCAACAATAAATTTCTATATTTCTATTCTTTCTTTTATTTAAATTTTATTAAATTACAAAATAACCTTACCAAAGACTAAATTCTGGAAAAATTACATTATAACTGCTATTCAAAATTAAGCCATTTTTGCTGTAGAGAGTTTTGCACACTGGAGATAAAAGTATTTTATTCCGTACAGTATATTGCCAATGCTCGACTTGAAATCATTGAGTTTCTTAATAAAAAATTCATTAAAGTTTAAAAAATATCATACTGATAATAAAACAAATTCAAAATTCAGGATTTGGGCTTCAGATGCCTTATTCAGGTGGAGGACTGTGTTATTAAAAATTTGATGGGTCTAGGCATAGTTTTTTCACTACATCAGAAACATAGATACATTTATGCAGATTCTTCATTATTTAACTTCTTTATAATATTTGGTGGCCAACCATTTGAAAAGTGATACAGCCATTTATAGTGATTTGATGCAAAATGCCATTTCGAGGCTAACAGTCCTTCTGGGCTAATGCTCCTTTGGGCTATAAAAAATAAGTTTCTCGCAATTCTTATTAATACTTTTAGAAAACATTTATTTATTTTTACATTAAAGGTCATCACATAGAATACTTAGCACTTTTGTTGTTGTTGTTCCTGTTGTCTTGGCATAGAGGGTTTGTCCATAAAATAATGAGACTTGCAGCATGGGAACAGTGTTGGCAATAGTGCATGAAAGTCCAAAGAAGAACTTTAACAAAATATACAAATCATATCAATAAATTCTTTTTACAAGACACAGTCGTTATTTCACGAACAAACTTCCTACTTTGTCGTTGCAGATATTACCAGTTTGGTTTGACTGCTAGTGCCACATTCTTGGTGATATCTGTCTTTGCAACCCTGTCTGCACAACTGCATTTTTCATCTAATCATTGTAGTTGTTCTTTTTTTCCCCCCAATGGATTTCAAGACTGGATTTGCTACTGTGAAAGAAAACGTCATGGATAGAGCTATTGTATTTTCAAGCAGCTAGCATAGATATAAATCTTCCAGTTTGCAAGCAGCCAGTCGGGTAATTTTTCAGTAACAAAGACACTGTAAACTTTATGAATGTTTCTTTTGGGACAAAGAAACGCAGATGTAAAAAGTGAGGCAAATACTATGATGCATATGGTGCTCAAAGAAGCCCACAAGAACATACATGAGGAAGACTACAGCACTATAATGCAAAAGTACCATTTGAAAGGACTGCTCTAGACATTTTTTAACCTTTGCCTCGTATGACTAAGGATGACAAATACATCCTAATTGTCCTGGATTACTTTAGTAAACAGTTGGAAGTTTACACCAACCTTGATCAAGAAGTTTCACCATCGCAGAACTGGATATCACCATTTGGCATGCCTCTTTTTACTCACTATGACCAAGAAACAAACTTCACATCTTCCATTTTTAAAGGAATATGAAAAACTTTCAGTACGGAAGAGATCCAGATCAGTCTTTTACATCCACAGCTGAACAGCACTGTGGAGAGATTTAATCAAAAAATATTAAATCATCTCTCTCTACCCATATCTTAGAGTCAGTAGGACTGGAACCAAAAAATGCTGCTCTGCCTAAAACTGCCACTTAAGGCAAACAAACGCAGGGTTTTCTCCAGCAAATAATTTCTGGCCATTATCTTCACCTGCCATGTGACCTGCTCCTTGAACCACTGCTGAACAGGCCTTCTTTACTTAACGCTTTCAAATATCCCATATACACATTTCCTATCAGCGTCTTTCACAGCTGGGCGTCCCACTCATGCATCACTAGAGAGCTAACGAAAGGGATTGGTTGTGCATGTATGCATTTTAAGCTGAAACACGTTTTAAAGACCACTAGATGGTGTCCTGTATCCATTACCTTCGAACTTTTGTATTTAATTATTTTATTGTTTTTAATATAGTTTTAAAATTCTGTTTTTTTGTTTGATCCCATTCTGCATAATGTTATGGGGTCAGCTGTTATGGGGGAAAGAGCCAAAGCATAATGTAAACACACAGCTCGTGGTCTCATTAGCATCATGTGATATAATATATCCGATATCCCTTTAATATCTGATAGCCTTTGAATCCTTTTTTTATTCTTTTTTTGTTACTGTGTTGGGCCTTTTAGGGTTACTATGTGGTGTTCTATAATGCTTTTAAAGCTTTATTTCATGTAGTTCCTTTTTTATTTCGGAAAACCTTAGTTTATTTTTGGGAGAAAGCATTATTTATCAGAGAAATGATATACTCACATGGTAAATGAGCAAATTAGTGCCATGGATGAGAGTGATGATTCCTTTGCTAAAGAGTTAGCGATATTTCTAGTGATTTGCATACGGACATGTTATCAGAGACTGAGCTCAGAGTGTCAGCCATCTACTTCCCATGAAACATTTTGTCACTTCTTCTTGTAAATAATATTTCTTTTTATTAATTTTAAAATTTCTTAATGCATTTTGCCAATTAAAACATTGGGATAATTTGTATAGCACTTTCAAAAATTATTTCTCAAAATAAGCAAATTTTGCATATTTTCATGTAAAGTAAAGGATTATTAAAAGCTAATAACATATATGATAGCTTAAGTAATAATCTAAAACAGTACCAAAAATTATAACGTTAAGACAAACTTTTTTAAAAGTTTTTTTCTAAAGGTAGGCTTATCGATGCAGAGCCCCTGTCCCATCAAACGAGTCCTTCTAACACCCATCCTTCTTGATGGAACATTGTAAACAAAAGCCTGCTGTCTTGAAAGAGCAACCACTGTAATCCTAAAACTTTCAAATGTCATACACATCACTCGTAATGTAGACTATGTCAACCGCCCTTGTATGGCCATGTAACTTTCTCATTAAGACTCAAATATACTCCCGAGGCAGCCTGATGAGGCTCCAGGGAGTTGTTGCCACTAGATAGTGGAGGATGCGGGGCATATGCCTGTTTACCTATGTTAAACATCAGGCGCCCTCGTCCTCCGGCACCTGTCACCTGTCTTGAAAGAGTTTAGCAGCACCTGGAATACATGGAGGTGTATTTAGAAGACATCCATTACTTCACCAGGAGAAGGATTAATATAGTAACTACGAGGGTGAGGACAAGATATGATGCTATGTTGATGAAGGGAGAATTCAATGAAAGAGATCAAGTCTGGATATGAAATACTAAGTGTTGTACAGGGATTTCATACCAGCTGCAGTCATCCTTTTGAGTGATCAAGAAATTGAATGATGCTGTGATCCAGAAAACTTCTTTTAAGCTCAAAATAGTGCTTTATGATGGACTTTATATAGCAATGGCAGTTAACTGTCTCTGGTCTTGAAGATTGCAGTCCTGAAGGAAGGTGCTATGATGTAAATTTCTGTAAATACTTAAATTCATTTGATCGCACTGTTGTTTTTGTGTACTGCTTTATTTATTTGTTGCTTTTGGGGTGATAAAGTTAGGGTTTTATTTTGCATGTAGCTAAATTTATAACAACATATTTTGTATATAAATGTTTACTTCTTGCACAAAATTGTAGAAAAACAGTTCTTAATCCAACCACATTTAAACTGTGAAAATAACTGAAGCAGAATGCAAGACACGGATAAAAGTGCTGTAGATGTGCCTTTGTGACAATTTTTGTCACTGAATTAGCAAACTCTTGCCAACTAGAAGACTCATTTTTCATCTCTCTTGTTAAAAAAAAAAAAAAATACCTAATGTCTCTACAAGGTAGACCCCCATTCTCCTCTGAAACTATGAAATTCCCTGTGCTTGAGAACAATTGCTCAACATGCATTATAAATGAATAAGGATATCTTTTTAAATAGCAACTGATAGCAGATGGAAGTGCAATTTCTGTACTGAATTTTTAAGGTTTCCAAACTCAAAATCTTCCCTTTGGGATAGGTGCATTATGCTAACAAAGAGTTATAAAAAAAGCTTTCTTTTTTCTTTTTTCTTTTTTTTTTCTTTTTTTTTTTTTTTTTTTTAGTATTACCATACATTAAGAGTTTTTGAATGGAAAGAAAGTGGTAACAGTAGGCTGAAGAAAAAGCAAGGAAAGCAACGATCATTCTTATAATCAAGATTAACTAAATATAGACAAAATATTTCTGCTACCTAGAAAAGGAATACTTCTGCTGCCTTTTGAAACTTGAATAAATTACTTGAAAAGTATTTTTTTTAATCTGTTGTATGCTTAACATGTAACATATCAAAAATTCCATGTGAAAAGACTTAAGCCTGAAAGAAAAGGATAAACTGTTAAAACACTGCGCACCTTTGTTTAAGATGTTCCCTTGGGATGGATGGGAGTCAGAAGGAATCATCCCACAGGACGGGGGTTTTGTGTTGCTAACTTAAGAAAAAAAAATGTTTATGTCCTAACGTCATAATTTTGGTATCATTTTAGATAAGTACTTAAGCTATCATGTATGTTAAAATTAGCATTTATTTATCTTTTTCTTTTACGTTACAAGAAAATATTTAAAAAAATGCTTACATTAATAAATTATTTTCGGAAGTGCTATTCAAATTATTGACATTTTAATTGACAAAATACATGAAAAAACTTTAAAATTAATAAAAAATACAAGACTACTTACAAGAAATAAGAAAATCTTTTGCAGGCACTCAGTTCCTGATAAAATGTCCATATCAGAAATCCATCTCTAACTCTTTAGAAAATGAACTGTCACTCCCGTCCATGTCACTAATTGGTTCATTTACCATACTACAGTCAAAAGCCTTTAATCTGGAC